GACAGGCCCAGTGCTGGCCACTGTGAGCAGTGCGTTCCCAGAGACAGCAGCCTCCATATCTGAGGCCCCCAGCCCTGTCCCCCCTCACCACATCCCTGTTCATCCCCAACAGAAAAGGAGAAAACTCAACTTCTTGAGGATTTATTGGACTGAGAGCTGTCATGCCTTCCAGCCAGGCCCCAGCAGGCCTTGCACCAGGAAGGGGCAGAGAATCCGTCCTCAGGGTTCCCGCAGGTGTACTCCCGTGTTTCTCCAAGTGCCTTGCTGCTCCACCATAGGGTGACCTGGCTGAGCCTTTGGGAGTCCCGGGTCCCCAGCTTGCTAAGTGATCTTAGCCACGTTCCTTGCCTTGTCTGGGCCTCAGGTGCTTTACCCTCCATGGGAGGATGTTATTGTCCTGTCAAGGGACAGGGCTGGGCCCACTCAGAGTCCAGACCGGCTCAGTATCACAGATTCTGTGGAAGCGGACAGGGTTCAAGTCCTGCCTGTGAGTCACTACAGCTGCTGCGCTGAGGTCTTTGTCTTTCGGGTTCCGACCAACTTAAACGCACTCAGGTGCCAGGGCTTCGGACCCCAGAGAGCGAGGCACCCGCATCCCCTGGCAGGAGGAGGGAGTGGGAACAGAGCAGGGAATGGGCCGACGGGCGGGCCAGGACGGCGGGAGAGGTCAGGAGGAGCTGGGCTTCCCCACTGAGGGGTAGAGCTTGCGCAGGCTGGAGTCCAAGAGGAAGTCCACCGACCTGTGGGGAAGTGCAGCGCCATGACCCAAGCTGACCAAGGGGCGCTCGTGGGGGAGCGGGAGGCGGGGGACCAGGGCGAGGAAAGGGACCCCTGGACGCGGGGCACACGTGCCGTCCAGGTGGCAGCCATCACCTCTTCCTTCTCCAGTTGGGACAACTGAGGCCCAAAAAGTAAAAGATCCATGCAGGACCTCCGGGTCAGCTCTGTTCCCATGGAGAAAGACGCTTCCTCCCACTCCATGTTGGTCTGATTGGGCTGGTCCCATCTCTGGTTCTAAGGGCAGGCACATGACCCAAGCCTGGCCCATCAGAAAATGGAAACTGGCTCAGGGGTGGGCACTCAGTCCGGGATGGACCAATGACAGCCTTCCCTGGGATTTTTGCTATCACTATTAAGATGCCTCCTATGGGCTTGCTAAGCTGGTGGGAGGGGAGCTAGGGGTTGCTAGGAGCCATCTTTACTCCGAGTAAGGGAAAGTGACTAGAGCCAACATGGGATACGGTGGGGAGAAGGCCAGCCAAGAGACCTACACACCTAAGAGCATCAGTTGGTTTCTTGGTCCCAAGTAGCTGAACTTTTCAGTTACATGAAACAATCAATTCCTATTTTACTTAACCCAAGTTTCAGTTGGGCTTCTGCCACCAAAACTTCTCAAAACCCATCCCTCCCAGGGTGCACCTGTTCCTGCCTACCTCTGGTTGTTTTCTAACACTGAGTTTTCTTTCTGGGAACTGACTTATCCTCTGTCCCATACTCTCAAGGCACCTCCTACCTTTACTGCCGATGTACCTGCCAGATCATATGACAAGGCCCTAGACTGTCCTTTCCATCTCAGGAGCCCCAAGTGCAGCGCTGCCTCTGCCGCAGGTGTTCTGTGAAACGTAGGTACACTCCACCCTTCTCAAAGCTCAGCTCTGCCGGTACAGTGGGTGATCCCTGGGGCTGGGGGGCGCACCCACCTGTCGATGGGGTGGATGATGACGGGGATGGCGAGCAGCCCCAGTGCGGTGGTGGTCCACTTGCGGACAGCCAGAGGCCAGCGGGTGGCAGTGCTCAGGATGTAGAGGGAGGCTGCACACATGCGGTTGATAGTGAAGCCTGGGATGGCCACAGAGGCCAGAGCCTGCCACACAAAGGTGTCCATCACAGCCACGGTCACCCTGCTGCTGCGGCCTGCCTCAGGGCCCGGTGCCTGGTAGGCACAAGAGACACTTAATCCAGCAGGGGCAGAGGCGGAAACCCCTGTGGACAGGGGGCACGAGACTGGACCAGGGAGAGGGAAGGGAAGGGGGGGTGGGGACAGAGCCACATAAGTATTGGGTTCTGGACTCTACCAATTCAGGGCTGAGTGTGGACTCACATCCAGGACCAGGGTATAGACTATGTCACCCGCAGGACTGGGGGCGGGGGTCACTACCCTACAAAGGAGAGGGTACAGAGTGTACCAGGCCAGAGTGTGGGGACTGGACTGTCCTACAAGGGACTTAACCATGTGCAAGGCTGTGGACTGACCACAAGGGGGCGTGGGCCAGGGTGAGGGGTTGAGGGGGCAGGTTAACACTCACATCTCTGGCTTTCTTGCCCTTGTCAATGGCATCGGCCAGCACGTAGGAGCTGGACACGCCATAGCTCAGCCACACGACAGCTGCAGGCACCAGGGAGCGGAAGGCCTCCCCCACCTCATTGGCGTAGCCTGGTGGGGAGAGGATAGTCAGTTCCTGAGCCCTTGGGTTGTTCCACAAGGGGGCACTGGAGACAGCTGGTTCTTACCTCAGCCTGCTGAGGAGCAGCTGGGTGAGTGTAGACAGGGAGCATACCCCTCTGAGCCTCCGTGTCCCAGCCTATAAAATGGCACCCATGATGGCCACCCCAGCTGTCCTCTCGTGGGAGAGTTGAGCACAGACATCTTTCTCATCACTCACCTGCCTTCAGAGCCTGAGTTCTAGAAGCATTTGAGCTGGTGGGCACAGAGGCAGTGAGAGAGACTGACTGAGGGCAGCCCCACTGACCAGGCACTCACCACATGCCCGGATTCTCTGTACCTTATCTCGTTCTACCCTTACAACTACCAGGCAGCGAGAGAGACCCAATGTTCATCCCTCTGCCCTGAGGAGGAAACAGGCTCAGATGCAGCCAGTGAGGAGCCAAGATGGGAGTCCTAATGCCCTGACTCCGCAGACCGCGGGGGGCATGCCAGAGAGGGGAGCCCGCTCACCCGGTCCTCCGAGCTGGACTGCAGCTATCACCTGGGAGACTGACCAGCAGAAACCCCAAGGGCCGGGCTGGGCAAGCCAGAGCTGTGTGACCCTGAGCAAGTTCAGAACCCTCTCTGTGCCGTCTCTGCCCCGGCTGAGAGAGAACTAAGATGCTCCCACCATCTCCAGGCCCCCACCGGCCTCTGGCAATTCCTGCTTCCCTAGCCACGTGCTGTGGGGTCGCTGTGCCCCTTGCCCGGAGCTCACCCAGGTACCGCACCCACGTGTCCCGGAAAAGGTCGCGCTCGGGCCCCCGCGAGGGCGGCTCGGACATGGCGCCTCCGCCAGGGTCTCAGCCGCTGCTGCAGGTCCTACCGCCTCGGCTTCCACCAGCACTCCCGTTCGCCGCGGCGGGACCGGCCGAAGGTCCCGGACTGAAGGACAGGTCGTGCCGTCCCCGCCAGCAGGGAGCGTCTGCAAATTCCCCCGCACACCGGAGCCCCTCTCCCTGGCTTGGGTTTTACAGATTAATTTTCTTCACGGTGTTCTCTGGAGTTGAGATTGGCGCCATCCTCTTCTAGCACTGACTGTGGTGGTGCAACCAAACAAAGGCGATTCAAGTACGGGATGCTGCGCTGCACAGTTATGTGACCTCGGGCAAGAGCCTGTAACCTCTCTGAGCCTCACTTTATTCATTTGTTACAGGAGGAACAGGGCAGGTTTACTCCTGGAACGATTTCCAGGATTAATTACATGTCATCGCTGATTGAGTTTACTACCGGCCAGACCGTTGGCTAAAGACTAGATGAATTGCTTCTTTTAAACCTTCCCACCCGCCCCCGCCCCATCCCACTCCATTTTACAGGTGAGGAATAGAGACAGAAAAAATAGATCACTTCCCTAGAACAAAAAACTGCTGAGTAGTGAAGCTGGCATTTGATTCCAGGCAGCGCAGGTCCAGTTTCCATGCTCCTAAGGTGAGCGGAGCACCTAAGGCAGCGGGGGTGAACGGTGAGAACCCCACTGAGGTGGATGTTTGGACATTTTTTTCGGGTCTGCGCCGGGGAATGTGGGATCTTAGTTGCACAACCAGGAATGGGACCCACGCCCCTACACTGGAAGTGTGGCAGAGTTTTAACCACTGGACCCCCAGCGAAGTCGCTGTTTGAACTCTACTGGAGACCCTTCTCCCTAGGGGCCCGTGCTCTCAAGCACTGGGGTCTCACTAGACTGCCCTTCTTCCCAGCAGGACCTCGAATGAACAATAAAGGAATGAGGCCAGGGAAGCAGACTTGGGGTACAAGACTTAAGGGAAATGAGCAGAACAGAATGACAAGACATGGGGTTATTGATCACCGAAGAGGAAACTTCGCCACCTGGACTTCGGTTTACCCACGTGAGGAATAAATGCACTTCACTAAAGCTCTGTGAATCCCTGGGGAAGGGGGTTGGGTATCAGCAAACAAAGGCATAGCCTTTAAACACAGCCAGTCCTGGGTTCAAATCCCAGTTGTGCCACCCGCTGTCAGCCAGGTCTGTAAGAAATGAAAAGTAGCCAACAACTACTGAGCGTACACTTGTATCAGGCTTTCTAAGCGCTCTGCATGTATTATTGTTTCCTTGAATCCTTGCAGTAACGCTAAGAGGTAAGCACCGGGCTGTTGCCTGGTACCCAGGAAATGCTCATTAAAGAATTAGCCTTATTGTCATCAAATAAAGATCACAGCCTCCCATTGAGAGCCCTGTTTTCAGCCCTGGGAGGCTTTATCATTGTAGGATCGTGTAGGGCAGCCAGGTCAGCGGGATCTTGCAGGAAGCTGGGTTCGGGACCCAAAGGCGATCCCCGACCCCGGAAACAGTGGCAGTGCCTGCGCGGAATTAGGAGACGGTCCCTAATGCCACGTGATCGTCGCCTCTCCGCCACCCTCCCAATCCAGGCCCACCACAAGCTCTGCGCGCGCTCGCCGGACCCGCACTAGTTAGCTGCAGAAGCTGGGGCGGAGCGAGGCGGGGCCTCCTCCCTGAATGTGAAGGCAGTCTGGACCATTAGTGCCCTTAGCAAAGATGGCGGAAGACAGCCCACCGGCCGGGCCAATCTGGGGACGAGCTGGTCGTGAGGGGCGCTCACACGAGGTTAGCAGGTAGTTCACGCGCATGCGCCCCGCTTACTGGCGGGTAGACGCTAGGGTGCTGAGGCGGAAGTTTGCCTGCGTGAGGAAGTGTGAGGAGCGAGACAGAGGGCACAGAGTTCCACGCTCTGCGCGCTGAACGGTCTTTATTCATTGGTTACTTTTCCTAACAGAGCGTTGTAAACAAAGGTCGGGATGTCCTCCGCAGGGGTCTGGCTGGGGCCTGTGCGGCCTCGGGGCCTCCTGTCAGCGCCGGTCTCCCCCCTGCTCCTGCTCCTTCAGCTTGGCCAGACCACCCCCCAGGCTGGGCCAGGGCTTGGGTTTCTGAGGGGAAGGAATGCCCCAGGCAGTGAGGGACGGGGCAGGGCGCCTTCCCCAGCTCTGTGCAGGGCCTGGTGTTCGTTTGGAAGACGTGGGGCTGGGTTAAGGGTCGTGGATGCCCGCGGGGTCTGTGACCTGCGGCCCCTGGTCGCCGACCCGCCATTCCTAATCGCTCCCCCGCCCCCCCCTCCACCGTGGCCATCCTTGCTTGTCACCGCAGACGGAGCGGGTGGGGGCCTGCGAGGCTATATGTGGTTGCCCTGAGCCCCTGCCGTGGAAGCCTCCCCAACAGGCACCAGGAACCCACAGCACCCACCATGTGCCTCCCAGAGACGGGACTGCTAAGGCCTCGCTCAGGTCAGTCAGGAAGTGGGCTGTCGGGCACCCTGGTAGATTCAGCGCCCTCACTGCCTTGATCCCATCTGTCACTTTGGGGTGGTGTGCTCAAATGGAGAGTTAATGAAAGGCTGGCAGCACTAAAAATAGGGGTGGAAGCCTCAGAACTCGCACCCACCAGCCTCTCTGGCCCTTCCCAGAGCTGGGATCTCGGGAGGTAACTTCCTTGTGCTCTGTTTGCATCGGAGGACAGTGGCTGGGTACCAACGCTCACCGTCCAAGGAAGCTCTGAGTCATTGACAATCATCAGTAAATAAAGAAGCAGCCAGCGGACACGGGGTCGCTGAATTCCTCAAGGTGAGGGAGAGGCCTGCCTCTCACCCTTAAAGGGGAAGATCTGTGCTGATTCAGGCCACTTTCCAAGACCTGGGAAAAGCCAAAAGATCCCAGCCTTGGAGACAAAGGGCAGAAGAGCCTCAGAACCCCCACTGTAACTCTAGGAACTGGCTACCTTGCTATTCCTCATTATGATCTAGATTTACATGTTCATTTGGAAGCAAGTTCCCACCCCCAGCAGGTGGCTTCCCTGAAGTGTTAGGTCTCAATCTCTCCCTTTTCCAAATTTCTTCCCTTCCACCTCATGGTACCTGCCTTCCTGTCTTAGACAACACTGGACAGGTGAAGTTGGCACAGTTTACAAGGCAGATACTATCTCAGCGCCCAACCCCTGGGGCTCCTTAGTAATATGAGAGGCAAGGAGACCCACTCCAGCTACTCTCCCAGTCTTTCTTATTCTCAAATGAAGGCTCCCCAGATCCAGCCCCAAGGTCCTTCTCCTAGCCCAGTTTTTCTGGGTGTCTGAGTGCTGGGGAAATGACCATTACAAGGGGCAGAAACTGATGGGGAGACACTGAGGGAGCCAGGCCTGCTGTGGGAGGAGGCATTACTTTGGGGTGACTGCCCCCAACTGTTTCATCTTCTCTTCTGAGGCTTTGTCTGGAAGCAGGACCTCCACGGTGAAACTGACCTTCTTTGCATGAATGAAACTGTAGGTGTTGTCAAACCGCAGGACATCTGAGGGGAGGCAAAAAGACAGACATTCAGGCAGTCCCCACAGAGCTTACAGACAGCGATTTTTGTTGACTAAGCAAGTTACTGTGGTAGGTAGTGAGGATGAAGGTGGCATAAGCAATGGTCCTTCACCTTCTGAAACCCAGTCGAGGTGGGTTACCTCATGAAGAGGGGAAAAAAAAAAAACATGCCAAGTGCCAGATAAGCAGCAGAAACAAGTCACATCTGTTAACAGCTTGGAAGGAGGGGGCCCTATAGACTGAAATCATGAGCAAGGCTTTTTAAAGGAGTTAGAGCTTGAACTTGGTCTTGAAAGGGGGGGAACGGAGTTAGCAGCAGCAGTACTTGTTAAAATAATGATAGTAATGATAACATCGGCTATTCCTGTGACTCAGGAAAGGGTTGGCAATCTATATTATTCATGATAACTCTTGAATTCAACATTAGTCTTGTTTTATAGAAAAAGGAAGTCACTGTGTCACACAGTGAAGAAGGAATGGAGCTGGAATTTCCCTCTGGTCTGCACTGCTGCCTGACTTGGGCCCTGGAAAGCCCAATCCTGTTCAGTTTCTGAAAAAAGTAACAGGCAACCTTTTTTTTAGGCAAACTTTTTGAACCAGAAATTTATCCCACAGAAAGATAAATGGACAAAGATGCTCAATGCACCCCTATTTGTAATCATAAAAGATGAGGAAAACTAAAATGTTCAAAAGAGAACTACTTTAAAAGTTTTTATTGAAATACTATACTGGATAAAAAGAAGGAGGTGAGCTTTATGAGAATTAACCAGGGAAACTGTTGACAATATATCCTTAGGCCAAAAAAGGAAACTGCAGAACATTCTGTAGACTGTTTACAACATTTCTGTTAATATCAGTGAGTGCTTAGCCGCTTAGACATATCCAACTCTGCGACCTTATGGACTGTAGCCCACCAGGCTCCTCAGTCCATGGGATTCTTCAGGCAGGATTACTGGAGTGGGTTGCCATGGCCTCCTCTTGGGGCTCTTCCCGACCCAGGGATTGAACCGTCTCCTGCATTGCAGGTGGATTTGTTACTGCTGAGCCACTAGGGAAGCCCCTCTTGTTAATATATGTTTAAAAAAAAAATTCTTCTTGGCTTTGTTACTTGGCCCACCTACACTGACAAGTTTTAGTGTCAAAATTCCTTCAAATATACACTGAATGACAGATGCTAATTCCTATGAATGTGTATGTGTGGGCACATGTCCTGTATATTGTGGAGACATATAATGCTCCTAAAGGGCTGGAAAATATTTAGGATAATTCACAAGACCTGTTAGTGATTTACTAGGGAGAGAGAAAATGGGCATGCAGTTGGCAGAGAAGGCTTCCAAGCCTTGGCCAACGAACAGACTGCTTTTAATCTAACCCTTCTTTTTTTGAGTTGTTCCATTGCAGTCAAACACCCCTTCCAAAGAACAGGGTGGGAAAACAAAAAACACTAGCTCTGCTCTTTCTGCATCCTTGTCTTCTAACTTCTCCCAGCCAAAAAATACCCTGTGTATTTAATCCTGAGATGTGATCTTCCCTTTTTCTGCCCCTGGATAAAATGCATAGTTTAGAACAAGGGTAGACATACCACCCACCCTTTTCTTCATGGTATGGAGTGAGTAATAATAGCCATCAATTTTCTCTCTGTGCCAGAGTTGTTCAGGACCAATGGTGCCTCTGGAAAGAAGGAAACTTCCTCTCTGCCCTGGATGACGGAGCCTTAGCAACCAGAGTCAGTCATGCTAGAGGAGAAGTCTTTGAGCTCCTTGGACCAAGCACCAGGGCTGAGATGACTCTGCCTAGCATGACATTCTGTCCTCACAAACAAGGAAGGCGCTGTTCTTAGGCCCAGGCCTGAGGGAAGTGGAGGTCATGAATTGGAGTGGTTCATTTTGACACTAATCATGTACTCACGGACTCATAGAGGCCCCAGAGATTCTCCAGGCTAGGGCTTCTTCAATTTTGTAGGGGAACTGATCTCCTTGAGAATCTGACAGCATACAATTTCGGATCCCACAGAGCCCATCATGGACCCTCTGGGGCAGTGGTTCCCAATAGGAAAGTTACCACTCTGAAGAGAGGTGCTGGGGGTAACTGTGCCCTCTCATTCATGAAAGATTCTCAATTAGTGTCCTTCAATTTCTCTTTTATATTCCAGATTAAAGTGAAAGTGTTAGTTGCTCAGTCATGTCCAATTCCATGCAACCCCATAGACTGTAGCCCACTAGGCTCCTCTGCCCATAGCATTCTCCAGGCAAGAATACTGGAGTGGGTAGCCATCCCCTTCTCCAGGGGATCTTTCCAACCCAGGGATTGAACCCAGGTCTACTGCATTGCAGACTGTCTCTGGGCCACCAGGGAAGCCCTATATTCCCAATAGAGTGTATTAAATTTTTAGTTATGTATGTAGGTGGGTTATAGTATGTATGAATTTCATTTCAGGATAGTAGAAGGGACATTAGACACTATTATAAAAGGGAGATGGTTGGTCTTTAAGATTTAAAAGCACTGCTCTGGGGAGCCACAGACCCCAGATTAAGATCTCCCGCTCCAGCCTACTCCCCTCATTTTAAGGAAAAAAAGAGCAAAATCTAATTACTTACAGGCAGTTGCTCAAAACACTTGGAGGGTTACTTGCAAAGCTGGACTCAGAAACCAGGTCTCCTGGTGCCCAGCTGGGCTGTTTAACCTCCCTACATGTTTCAGCTCTCTGACCACACCACACACTCCCAGCAAACAGAGTTCATATCTTTTTTTTCCTGAATCTTTTTCTTTCCTAGACAAGTACTCTACACTCAGGGCCTCAGGATATATTAGTTGGGAGAAGAACAAAGTGGAATTAGTTCAGATTTTGAGTATGCTTGGGAAATGACCGGCACAGCCCAGGGAGGGTTCGTGGGCTCCTACCACTGGACTCAGAGCTGTAATTTCTCCCCTGCGTGGTTATCTCTACTTTACAGTTGCCTGGTTCCCCCAAGGCATCAGCTCCCACAGGTGAGCTTGTAACCTAACACCGGCTTCTCACAGGCTCAGCTGTAACCTCGGTCGGCCACCACCCAGGCAACAGCCGACCCCACCTCGCTGTCTTTAAACCTGGGCAGGGGGAGTGGATGCTGGGGCTCTGTGCCTCCTGAGAACGGACAATAAAAAGCTCCCAGTCAAGGCCCCTGCAGGCAGGTAAATACTTCCTAGTATCCATGAGTAACTAAAATCTGGGATTTGCAAACCTAAGCCTGATTATGTTAAAGAGTTCACGGTCCTACGTGGTACTACAGAGAAGCAGTGGGCAGTGATGGAAAACGGGATGGGCTCTGCTCCTGGGCTCGGGCTAATTACTTCCTGGGTCTGGGACCCCGCTCTCTCCTCTGTCACATGACCATCTCTAGGGTATCTGTGGTCACGAGATCCTGCCTCATTTCTTGCCTGTATCTGTCTCGGTGTCTACGCATGCTACACTGTGGGAAAGTGTACCTCTCTATACCTCAGCTTCCCTGTTCTTTAAAATAAAGAAACTCAGGCTTGCATGGACGAAGTGCTTTATGCTCTGAGGATGACAGTATCTGGATTGGCACTACACCTGATGCCTGATGCAGCACAAGGTATACCGCCTTCTCCCTGAGGACCCAGCAGCTCGCTAACAAGCATAGCTCTCCTCCCCAGGGAGCCAGACCACAGAGCATCTGTGAGGAGGGGGCGGCAGAAACTGAGGTTGCCTGGGCTGCGGGGGAGGACACAGGATCTGAGGTTTGGGGCGGTGGTGTGGACAAGTACAGAGACAGAGACATCTGTGGGACTAGTTCAGAACTGGTGGTGTTGCCATGGAAACGGCGCAGGGCTTCTCCCCTCTCCGGCACTATCTCCTCCGGGTCTTGCCCTAATAAATAATAATGGTGGCCACGGTGTGCTGAGTGCTGTAGGGCAGGCACGATGCTAAGTGCTGCACAAACCTGATCACATTTCATTATCAGGTGTCCCCAGGAGGTACAGAACTTGATCCCCATCGTAGCAATCAGGGGACTGAAGCTCCGGGAGGCCAAGTCACTGGCCTACGGACCAGTCTGTGGTCAAGTCTATCACAGCTTGATGACAAAGCCCTTACTGTTACTGATGTTCCATGCCTGGCCCCTCGGCTCAGACAGAGGAAACTGGAGGTTTGAGGGGCATTTTCTGTGTGTGTATGTGTGATTTTTCTGCCTAGAAATATAGTACGTGTTCTTTGTAACATAACTGTATTTGCAGAACCAGTATAGAAAAAACAAAAGCCCTCTGTAAGCTTCCTTAAGATCCCAGAGATAACCACCACTAGCATTAGTATAGAATCCCCAGAATTCTTTTGACTTTTTTTTTAAGTCAAAGTGAGGATATACCATATATGATATGTCTCATGCCTTAGTTTTTTTTAACATGTTAAGAGTCTGCCTGCAATGCAGGAGACCTGGGTTCGATCCCTAGGTCGGGAAGATCCCCTGGAGAAGGAAATGGCAACCCACTTTTGCCTGGAAAATCCCATGGACAGAGGAGCCTGGTGGGCTACAGGCTCCCATGGGGTCGCAAAGAGTCGGACACAACTGAGCAACTTCACTTTCAGTTTCAGATATTTTAATGTGATATTGTATTCTACTGTATAGACAGACCGTAATTTAATAAAGCCATTTAACTTATTGTCAGTTTCCCAAACTGCTAAGAACATCTGTGCACCTACATCTTTGTGTCCTTGTGTAAATATTTCTGTAGGATAAGTTTTCAGATGTAGAATTGCTGAGTCAAAGGGAATTTGATCGATATTGCAAAGCTAAGTGAGGCTAAGCACCTTTCCCAATGCCTGTTTGCCATTTTTATTCCTCCTGAGTAAGCTTCCTGCTCGTGTCCTGTGGTCACTTTCTGATCAAGCTGGAGATGAGTGAAGCGAGCAGAGTCAAGGCTGGGTTCTGCTCACCCTGTGATCCCGGCACCTGCCCAACCTGTTCCGCCTCTCTGATGTCTCGGGGAGGGGCATCCCCGGAAACGTCTGATGGCGGCAGTCAAAGCCCCAGGGCGACCTGGGGCCAGAGCGCAGGGTTCTGAACTCTTGCAGTCACCTGGCGCTGTGACTCTCCTTTACCTGGGAGCATCAGGTCAGAGTCCTACCCCGCTGTTAACCAGCTAGGCCACCTTGAGCCTGCCCTCTCACCCCTCCATCTTAGGTTTCCTCACCTGTGCAAGACAGGGTGGAACTGATGGAGTTCTGCTTCTAGTGCTAACCGTCTGTGAGCTTAAATCCAGGGAGAAAGAGGGACCTCACAGGCAGACGGCTAGAGCAGGGGCTTTGAGAGACTTACAGATGCCAGGATCGCTGCAGGTGAGGGTCCCGTCCTCCGGCACCAGGTGAGCGTTGTACCTCTGGTTGGGCAGCACCTCCCTCATCTCCCCGGCCCGCTGCCGCTCCCCCATCTTGGTCTTCAGGAAAATCCCAAAACCGATGTCCGAACCATCCGACATGAACTGCCACCTGCAGGGGACAACCACCCACTCAAGACGTGACTCTGTCCGCACGTGCCCTCTCTAGGGGCCTGTCACCAAGGCTTCTCCCGCCTCAGCCCGCTGGCCGGCACCTAAAGCGGCAGGCCCTGGTCTCCTGGGAGGGCCCAGGACCCTACCTGAGGACACAGCCCGGGAAGAGGATCTCATACTCCACTTGGTGGGAGGAGCCCCGGGAAATCTGCACGCTGTGTTCGTACTGCTGCTTCACCTGGTCCCGCACGTAATACTTCTTGGGGATGTCACCCCCATAGTTGATCTAGAAGCAGGGCACGGGATGAGCTGGAACAAGCACTGGGGCCAGGCGTTCCCTGGTCACCTTCAGCCCCCTGGGGAAGCCTGTACCTTGGATTTACATTTGGGGTTTCCATCAGGGTCAGTCATGGTGCCCCCGTACTCCACAGGCAACTGGTCGGGGCTGATATATTTCAGCAAAACCTCCTTCCAGTTTGCTGGCAGGAGAGGGAAGGAAGGAGGAAAAAAAAAAAAAAGGATCAGCACTAGGCAGGATTTCATCACAGCCCTGGCAGTCTACACACAAGAGGCAGAACAAAACCCGTCTGCCCCCGCACACCAAACACGGGCCTTGGGAGCACAGGACGTGCACACAGCTCCGCAGGGGGCTTCGAGAGGGGCCGTCGCCCAGGGGACTGCCCTACGCTATACCAGGAAACGAGAGCAGAGTCAGGGCCCCATGGCCTCTGGCCAGCTGGTCAACCTGAGGCAAGCCACTCGGCTCTGAGCCTAGGTCCTCCTGCTGCCTTGCAAGATCATGGTGGGAGGGAAGTGAACTAAGCACTCGAGGAGGTGTTTGTCCTAAACTGTAAAGTGCCCTATCCATAGGAGAGTGTATTATCACTCCCAGGAAAGGGATACAGATGTCTGAAGTGCCAGCAGGAAGGAACAAAGGGAAGGGCATTCCATGCAGAGGGCACAGCACGTGCGTCAGGCAGGAGGGCCCGAGTCAACATGATCCGCCCTGGTTAGACAGACGTGAGGGCCCGACCGGGGGTCTCGTCCCCCATCACCCTCTGCTCAATCATGACTGAATGAATGCATCACTGTAGACTAACCTCTTAAGAGAGCTCCCTTGGCTTTACCCCCGGCACACTTTCACTTCTCTTGTTCAGGCTGTCTGGCAACCGGTGATTTGGTTTTTCTTTTTTTGGCCTATTTTAGTAATCATACCCTTTCCTGGCTAGGAGAGTTGGCCTCGGGTGCAACCAAGGCTGAGATCCACTCCTCTGCCATTTCAGACTCCTAACTGAGTGTCGGCCGAAGGACAGTATTGTGACCCTGGGAACCTCTCCGCGCTGACTGCAGACACGACAGAGGCAGCAGCCCCGAGTCACAGGGCACCAGCTGCATCCTGTGAGGCCGGTGCTGCCTGGAAACCCAGGAGCACAGTCTAGGGCTCCCAGCCCACAGGCATCTAGAGATCTGCGACCAAGCAACCGCAGGGACATGTGCCCGGTCTCGAGGTGCTTCCATCCGTGCTGAGCTGCAGCCCAGGGTGAATTTCTGCCCCCTCTCTGTTGAAGATCTGTGCCTTCCCAGCCCAAGGCGGATTCGGTTGAAAGGGTTTCAGGTGTGGGTGGGAAACATACTGAACCTCCTCCGCGGCCCCGCTGCCAGGAAACCAAATTGGGCTCACGCGCGTGGTGGGCGGCAGCCACAGAAAAGCCAAAACTCATCAAGAGCCTTTCACTCAGGCTTTTTCTTCCCCCAGCTCAGCTGGAGGGTTGGAATCCGGCCAGGACGATTCTTCCCATCTTACAGACAGGAACTGAGGCAACAAGGACAGAACTCGTTGTGCCAGAGCCAGGACCAACAGCCAGAGGTCCTGTGCCCTCCAGACTGCTTCACGCCACACCCAGGCCTCAGCACACACTTGCAAAACCTCCGCGTTCAACATGGTGCCTGAAAGTGAACATTCAGAAGCCTTCAGAACTCCCTGTTCCCCAAGTTCAACGCCGCAGGTGGCCCTAAGCCATCCATGAAGCCGATCCACTTGTCCAGGCTTTCCTCCCACCACTCCACGTCACACTCCAGCCAGACGCGGCCCCTGCTTGTCCCCAGCTGCCTTGATTGCCGAGCATCTTCCCTCTTGGCCCCTGACGTCCACCTGCTTCCCCGCCGGCCACTTCTCCACCTCCCTGGAGGGATCCTCTTTCTCTGCCTGCCCTCGAGCCTGGATATCCCCCACGCTTCAGCCTCTGTTCCGTGGGCAGTCTCATTTCCTTCTCAAGGTCTTAGCCACTGCCTGTTGTTGTTCCGTCGCTAAGTCGTCTCCGACTCTTTGCGACCCCATGGACTGCCTCACACCCGGCTTCCCTGTCTTCCACCATCTCTCAGAGTTTGCTCAGTTTCATGTCCATTGAGTCGGTGATGCTATAACCATCTCATCATCTGTCACCACCCCACCCCCTTCTCCTTTTGACTTCAATCTTTCCCAGCATCAGGGTCTTTTCCAATGAGTCAGCTCTTCGGATCAGATGGCCAGAGGACTGGAGCTTCAGCATCAGTCCTTCCAGTGAATATTCTGGGTTGATGTCCTTCAGGCTGAAAAGTCCCAGAACTCTGGACCACAGTCTGCCCCTAAGATTCAGGCCCAGGCCTCCCCAACATCTGTACATCTCACAGTCTCCTCAAATTCAACTTGGAGCTTTTCCTTCCGGCCGTATTATTCCCCAGTGGAAGTGACTGCAATGCTCAGTCACTTGTGCCAGACCCCAGGGAGCCATTCTAGATTTATCTTCCTCCCTTCCTACTTCCAGGCAATTGAGTTCCACCTCCTACAGAAGTCTGAAATCCATCCTCTCCTCTCCGTCCCTACGCCCCCGCCCCCACTCAGCCTTTCAACTCCAGGCATGTGGACTGTGGCCATGGTGTGCAAAAATGGTATCTCGTCCCTCACAATCAACAGAGAATCAGATCTTGGCACCTACTCCACCACCCAATCAGAGCTCCTCTCCAGTGCCCAGGAGCCTGCAGAGTCATACCCAGCTTCCCAGCACAGGCCCTGGGTTCTCTGCCACCCAGCTCCTGGCACCCGGCTCCCTCCTCATGTCATCTCTTGCCACACCCTGCGGTGCACGCTACAGCCACCCTTGCCACAGTGTGCAAAGTCTGTGCTAAGTGCCCTTCTCTCTGCCCAACGGCTTGCTGCCTCGCTTTATCCAGCCGCCCGACTCACTCCATAGCTCGCAGCCAAGGGAGGCGCCACCCCCTACCCAGGCTGGGTGGGCTAAGCACCCCACTCAGTGTTCCTATGGACTCCTCCCTTTTACATGTAACGTCACACACTGCTGTGGTTTTACCCAGGTGGCTCGGTGGTAAAAAATCCACCTGCCAACACTGGAGATGTGGGTTGGATCCCTGGGTTGGGAAGATCCCCTGGACCAGGAAGTGGCAACCCACTCCAGTGTTCTTGCCTAGAGAATCCCATGGACAGAGGAGCCTGGTGGGCTGTGGTCACGGGGTCTCAGAGCCAGACGCGACTGAGGACACATGCATGCTCACACTGATACACCTGTTGGTGTCTCCCTTTCCGAGAGGCCACCAGCTCTTTAAGGGACTCTGTCTTCCCTCTGTGGCCTTGACACCTACCTAGTCCAGGGCCGGGCACACAGCAGGTGCCCGTTCAAAGAGGCCAGCTGTGCTCCTGTGACCCCCTTGCTCGGCCACGTCCAGGGCCTCTTCTAGCTGTGTCCCAGCTTTCTCTTCAAGGGCCCTCTCCTGTTTCATTGCAAGCTCACCAAGAATGAGGGCTGGCATCTCATTCACCTTTGATTTTCCCCAGTGTTACAGGAAGAGTTCTCATGAAATCAGAGAGGAAGAAGCCCCTTGCTGGGGCCCAGCCTGCTCCCAGGGTCCCACTGCGCCCCAACCAGAAGAGGGAGCCTTGGCCCTGGCGGCTCGGGCCTTCCCTGTGATGCCATCCCCGGAGGGGTTGCCGCCACGCAGCCCTAGTTCAGAGAGTCTAAGCTACTCACCTCCCAGAACCTGGATCTTCTTACGAGTGTCCTCACTCAGGAACGGTTTGACGAGGTTGTAGGCCACAGGGAACAGCTTGGGGGCTGCAACAGAGACCAGGCCACGTGAGCCCTGGAGCAGAACCCACTGTGTCCCTAACCACGTCTATCACGGCCCCCGGCGTCAGGCCACACGCTCCCGGGGCTGTGGAGCCCACGTAGGCAGCCGTGTGAGGTTCAGCTGTCCCATCTGTACAGAGGGGAATGCTCCAAGTTCCTCACCAGGCTCGAAGCAGGTAAATACTAAAAGCCATGCGAATTATGACGCCGTCTGCGTAGTCACAGGTCAGTCTTCAGAATGTGTCCTAAGACCGCCACCCCAACCTTTGGCTCATTCTAATTTTATTCTCCCCCAAATCTGTCCCAGGAACATTTTCAGCCCCTCCTTCCCATTTGGCTTCATCACAGGTAGTTCCCAACTTACCTTTAACAATAAAAAGACGCTTCAGCGTTTCGGGATAATTTTCCTCAAACATGCAAAGAAACTGTGAAAAGAATTCAGCGGGCTCGAAACTCTGTGCCAAGGAGAGAGGCTCTGCTTCCTCCAGCCTCCCCCACCCCACAGGGCCTCCGAGCACCCCCATCTCTCACCCTCCCACCCCACCCCAGCCCTGGCCCTCACCTCTCCGTAGGCCTCCACGGCCGGCTTCCAGAGATGCTTGAGACCCAGGCCCTCGCAGTCATAGATCAGGGTGGTGGTCTCTATCTTCTTCCCCATCTGCAGGGGCACAAGAGCACAAAGTCACATCATGCGGCTCCACCCCCATAAACACACCCCAAAGGCCACCCCGGTTCAGGGGAAACACTGATTGCACTTTGTACCCATACTGTAACCAGATCCGGGCAGGGCCAGACCTAGGGTTTTCCAAATCAAGATAATTACCCCCAGGCCGGAACTGTGGCCTAGACAAGTCCCCCTTCCCGTCTAGATCACCCTCTTCTTGTTCAGTAAACAACTGGGTAGGCCGAGATGACATCTGAGGCCCCTTCTGTTCTGCAGTTTGACCTGGCGTCCGCCCCCTTTCCTCTGCGCTCTGTGCGGTCACGTATCTCGCAGGCACGCATGCTCTCGGGCCAACCGGAGCCCTGAAGGGGCGTCCCGGTCCAACGCTTCTCTCCATGCCCAGCCCTGGAGGGCCCCGGCACACGCTAGGTGCTCAGCGACTGTGGGTGATGCTGTTAAAATGTCCCCAAACTGAACACGTCATTTCACTACATGTTTACGACGGCTGAGAAGGAGGGAAGGAGAGAGAACCGTGGCAGCTCCAGCTTGCTCTTCAGTCTTTCTCCTATAAGAGTCAGCTGTCCTTCTCTCTGTCTGAATTGAGTTAGACAAGCAAGAATCTGAGCTGACACCAGCGGCACCCAAATTACCGTCCAAGGCTAGGGTGGGCCCGACAAAGGCTCCACTGGTGCCCAGGCAACAGGAGAAAAGTAACGATAACGCAGCATGTTTTTACAAAGCCGAACTTTACTCAGTCTAAAGGACTGCCTCTTCTTTCAATGGCTGAGTCAAAGATCTCTCATGAGGAAAGTCACACTGCACTTGAGAATGTGTGGGTTATTTTGAAATCTCTTGATATTGATTTCTAACATAATTCCAGTGTTAAGAGAACAGACTCTGTAAGATTTCAATACCTTTAGACCATGAACTATTTGCACCTTGTTTTATGTCCCTTTATATCTTCCAGTGTCTCCTGGTTTATAATCTATGGGAACTTGAACAGAATTCGTATCCTGCTATTGTGTGAAACTGTGTAAATCTTAAATTATGTTGAATTGGTTCACAGTGCTTTTTAGGTCTACTATATCCTTCTACTTTTCTATTCATTCTATTAATTTTTGAAGAGTCTGTTACTGAAATTCCAACTAAAAATCTTAATTTATCTACTTAAAACAATAATTGTAATATATAGTGAAACTGTAGGTAACCTTATTTTGTACTTTCCAAGTCTCCTGTAAATGTGTCATCATACTCTCATAATTTAAAAACTAAGAAAGAAAAAAAATAAATAAAAGGACTGTCTCTTTTTTTTTTTCTGACTGCATCATGCTGAACTTCCCTGACCAGGGATCAAACCCCCACCCCCCTGCAGTGGAAGCAGGGAGTCTTAACCAGTGGACTGCCAGGCAAATCCTGAAGTTCTACCCTTTGTTCTGAGATGACACTCTCCTTATAGTTCGGGGGTTAATTATGGCAATAATAGCTGGTAAGTGTCTTCTCAGTCCTTACTTAGAAAAAAAATGAAATCTGGCAACACAGGTCAGCCCCTAAAACTCTGTAATCTCACTGGCCAATGAAATCCACGCATCAGGGCCTGAGCCCTGAGGCTGCGCTCCAAGCCACGGGTGACCGCCACGCGCCGGCGTGACCGACTCCACCGGCCGAGCCGGCCCCCTCACCTTTTCGCTCTGGCGGACACATTCCTGCAGCAGCAGCTCGCAGTCCCGCATCTTGGTCTTGAGCAAGTCCTGCTTGCTGGCCGAGAGGAGCAGACCCTTGGCGTCCAGGGGACCAATGATGTCATACCAGATGGGGGAGCCTTCCAAGTCGTAGCCGCACATGCCCCCTGACAGGTACTGCTGGACCACCTGGGCCAAGACAGAGGGGGCGCCCGGTCAGCAGGCCCAGGGCAGCCACCCGGTCAGCAGGCCCAGGGCAGCCACCCCTTCCCCCGCGTCCAGGGCCCCCCTCTGGGTTGATCCTCCCGGGGTGCCAATGGATCCTCATTCAGTGACTCGGCATTGTCAGGCCTTTCCCCTGAAGGCCCCAGGCCCACAGTCCTCAGGCGTGTCCGACTCTGTGCGACCCCATGGACTGTAGCCCACCAGGCTCCTCTGTCCACGGCATTCTCCAGGCAAGAAGACTGGAGTGGGTTGCCATTTCCTCTTCCAGGGCATCCTCCCCACCCAGGGATAGAACCCGGGTCTCCTTTGCCGCCTGCACTGCAGGCAGATTCTTTACACGCTGAGCCATCGGTCAACTTTCGGCCTTGTCAGACCTTTCGTCTGAGGGTCCCAGTCCCATGGACGCAGGATACAGGCTGTGGCTGTAACAGACCTCCTCACGTGGGATGGGGCGGGATAATCTGTCCTCACCTCTGGAGGCTGCCAGCTGGTGATGTTGTCAATGTCCTTTTGCTTCCGGAACTCCACATGCTGCAAACACATAATCGGGACTTTAAAAGAGCAGGGCAGGGGAGGGGGCCGCCCTTAACAGGCATCTAGCAACGGGTGACAGCACGACCGGACCACTGACCACAGGTGAGCCACGAGAAAGCCACTGGCAGGAAGAGAAGAGAAGGCACTGCCTGCTTCCAAGGTCTCAGCAGCACAGATTACAATTCTTGGTTGGCCCAGAACCGTGAAAGCTCTGTTTCCCGGGAAGGGAATGCACTCTGCTGCCCAGGATAAGGCAGTACAGGCTGTGATCAGGGTGGGAGGACTGGGCAGAAGTCCGGGCACGGTGTGATTCCCGTGGGCAGGAATGGAAGCAACCAAGGGGTCTCACCTTCCGGAGCATGGCCTCGGACTTCTGCAGGTCGAAGTTTCTTGCTGTAACAGGGAAACACAGACAACAGTTAGGCCAGTAGCCTGGGCACTGAGGACTGAGAGCCTGTCCTGCTCCTGCGCTGGGGCTCTAGGGACTCTCAGATCACCCTGCATGCGGAGGTGGGGTGAGGACATTCACTGAGGGTTTGGGGAGCACCTCGACCCCTGAGCTTGCAGGGAGAGCAGGCCAAGGCTCAGGGCAGGTGGGAGCAGCCCTGCAAGTTCAGGGTCAAAAGAGTTCTCTCCGAGTAGATGCAATCAAGTCAAGGATCTTATCTCCTCTCAGGAAAAGCAAACCCTGGACTCCCTTATCATTTAGGCTTCTCCTTCCACAAAGCTAATCTCCTGCAGGGTCTAACACCCAGTGCTGAGAACTTGACCTTGGGTTCAAAGATGAACACAGCTGCCCCGTAATCTGGGGCAGGACTGGCAGTACATTCCAGTAGGATGGGGGTGGCGGTGATGAGCCTCCGGTCATCAAAGGACCCATGCATACCTCAGGGGGACAGAGGGCCCTTCTCCTCCCAGGATTCCCAGGAAGTTTCAAAATCAGAGTTCCCCTGGGTCAACAGTTCAGTGCCAAAGAACTGATGCTTCTGAACTGTGGTGTTGGAGAAGACTCTTGACAGTCCCTTGGACTGCAAGGAGATCCAACCAGTCCATCCTAAAGGAGATCAGTCCTGACTATTCATTGGAAGGACTGCTGCTGAAGCTGAAGCTCCAATACTTTGGCCACCTGATGAGAAGAACTGACTCATTAGAAAAGACCCTGATGCTGAGAAAGATTGAGGGCAGGAGGAGAAGGGGATGACAGAGGATGAGATGGTTGGATGGCATCACTGACTCAATGGACATGAGCTTGAGCAAGCTCGGGGAGTTGGTGATGGACAGGGAAGCCTGGTGTGCTGCAGTCCATGGGGCCGCAAAGAGTTGGACACGACTGAGCAACTTAGCAGCAGCAGCAGCAGCAGCAGAGCGACTGAACTGAACTGAACTGAACTGGGTCAACTGAATCTCAAGCACAAACCTCAACACGCTGTCCTGATCAAAGTTCAAAACAAAGACCTCTCTGCCCACCAAGGCCACCTGCTCCCAGGCAATCCAGGCGGCCATATGCACTTGGCCCTCACTGTTCTGAGCAGAGACCCTTCTGCAGAGACCCTCAGAGAGGAAGGGGTGCTTCCTCAGCCACGTGACGACCCCTCCAAGCAAACTCTGTGCTGCCACCCTGAGTCCCTGCCTGCCAACAGGCTGCCCATCCGTCGATCCTTTAACCATCCTACACAGCCTGGTGTCAAGTCCATCCACTTCCCTTTGGAGGCTTTCCAGTTTCCCAGCGCCCCTCCTAAAGTGTGTGGGCCAGAGCACAGGTGTTATCTACCCTTCTCCAATTAAACCTAAGAACTTTCTCGGCAAGAGGCCAGGTCCTTAACTTGAGCAAAGCTTCCCAAACACTGAAACCCCCAAATCCTTTTCACCTGGGCTACTGAGAAGCCTCTATCCCACAGGCTGAGAGGCGGTTTTCTGGATCTCTCCCTATCAGATTTCATCTTGTTACAGTCAGCCACATTGCATTTCTTGAAGAGCTTCTGAGATCCACATTCTGAGCAATTTTGCCATGTAGCCTATGAACTGCCCCTCCCAGCCCGATGTCCCCTGTGGGTCACATCGATACTCAGATCTGCTGACAGACCCGGGACCTGGGCCAGACAGGCTGCCCTCTGGACCGCCACCGGCCCCTTAATCGCGGCTCTCCGGGAGTGGCCGGGCACATTCCCTGACTCTGCTGCCCTGAAATGCAGTCCACTCTCCTGCACCCAAAGGATGCAACAAGAGATATGCCCAAAGCCACGCTCGTCACTCGGGCCAGACACGCACCTGCAGAAATGAGCAGCCTTGGCTCTGGGGAAGTCCCCTCTCGTGGTCCCCCTCCACGTGCCGTCATGGCAGTGGGGGGTGGGCAGCTATCAGAGGAATATAATCTGGGTTTGCATCTCAGCCCTTCCGCCTTCTTCCTATTTAACCTTGGACAAGATATTGCAGAATCTCTGGCCGAATCGCCCAATGAGCTAAAAACCACTTGGAAGTCACAAGGCACCATGCTGTCATGTCGGGGGAGCCCAGCCGGACCTGAAAGTGGGAATCCTCCAGGCGAGGGAGGGAACCCCCAACTGTGATGTCATCCTCCTGGGGAACAGGAGTGGTGGCGAATCGTGAGCCCCTTATCTCAGTGAAGCTCTCCAGTGAACCCTTAGCGGCTCGGGCCCAAAATTCAGGGTCTTCGTGGGCCCTCCCCAAGCTGCCACTGCCCCTGGCAGTACAGGCCTGAGGCCTCCCCAGGCCTGTTCGTTCAGCCTCTCCAGGGCTTCTGCCCCCTGGTCAGGGGGCAGCTCGGGGCATGGCTTAGGGCACTGCCAGAGATGGCCTGGGAGCCGGAGTCCTGGGTTCTTATTTCATCCCTTCCTAGTCCTGGGAAACGAGGAGGCTAAGCGCTGCCCTGCCAGGCTCACAGATTTCCTCCATCTCCTGGTTTTACCTTGCCATCTGACCCTGCTCCTCACTAGCGTGCCCAGAACTGGGGAGGGGAGAGGGGGGTGGTTGTGGGAAAGTGATGTGTGAGGGCCTGAGGGCCAGCAGAAAGCTGAGCCTATGTCAGGGAAGAGAGAACAGAGGAACCCAGAGCTCACTCACACCTAGGCTAGAGAAAGACATCTGGCTGGCAGGTGCCTTGCAAATGTTTTCTTTAGAATGAAAAGGAGAAAGAAAAAAAGGTTTCTTTTAAAAAGGTGGGGGGGAGGGGGCGGAATTCCCTGGCAGTCCAGTGATTAGGACTCTGAGCTTTCACTGCTTTCACAGAGGGCTCGGGTTCGATTCCTGGTCAGGGAACTAAGATCCTTGCATGCTGCACAGAACAGCCAAAAAGGAAAAGAAAGGCAAGGGGACAAAAAACCCTAATTGAAATGCACAGTAGAGTCTCACCAGGCCTGAGCTCCTGCCCAGGAAAATGTGGGGCACAAATAAAGTGCAGAGGAGATACGTCCTCGGTTTGAAGAGGCAGAGCCTGCCTTGGCAGAGAGGGGGGTGGACAGCTGTGGCTGACTCGAGAGGATGCTAGCCTGGGAACCAGGGGCCCGAGGTTTCTGCCCTGATTCCGTTTTGCATTTGCTGTGTGCCCTCAGGTAAGCACCCTCCCCTCTCTGAGCCTCAATTTTCTCATCTGGCAAATGAGGATGACTGCACTCCTCTATTCCTGCAAAGAGAGGGACAGGAGCTGTCCTAGGACTGGGGGGTTGGGGTGCCTGGGAAACCAGCTGCCAGCTTCTCTTAGGTAAAAGACAGCTGCGACGCTGTTCACCTCACCAGCTCTCTGAAACCACAATCCCCCCACCTCGAGGTAGCTGGGACGTGTGTCTGATTCTCGCGCAGCTGGCCCTTCAGTAAAGGCTGTCGGCTCACTCTCCCCACCCGCCCCCTGCTAGCTGCAGCCCTTCAGTAAAGGCTGAGCCAGAATATCCTCCCACTCTGGACTGACTCCACCGCCACCCCTCCTCGCTGCCCCCCACCCTTTCTGAGTGGGCAGAGGTAGGGGGCAGTTCACAGCTTTTTTTGGGGGGGCGGGGAGGGCAAGTGGCACTTTCTGAGGCACACAAGAGCCTCAGGGGGCTCTTGTGTCCTGGGGTGGGGGGAGGCCTGCTAGCAGCCTCTCCAGAGTACCCCAGCTCTTCAGTTCCTGGGCTGAAACTGAAAGACGTGTCTCTCCGCCTATCCCAAGACTCATAGGAGACGTAGGTGTGTGTGTGTATCTATATAAACAACTAATCGGCCGGGACTTAACTTTAATACTGGGGGCCTACGACTCTGTATTTCCACTCCAGTATTCTTGCCAGGAGAATCCCATGGACAGAGGAGCCTGGCGGGCTGCAGTCTGTGGGGGTCACAAGAGTCGGACATGACTTAGTGACTAAACCTCCACGACTCTGGGTCCCGATTTAATCTCTGCTAAAATAACACAGAGAAATGTTCTCTACTATTTCTATGTCTGGCGGTAAAGTTTCTACAAAGGAAGAAAAAGAAAAATATGTCACAAGAATTGAGAAAGAGGGTGGCACCTGACTTGAATCACAGAAGAAGAGAAGAAAGAAAAGATTTCAGGAGTTGCAGTGTGGGGTTGAGTTGGACCCCAATGCTAGCAGAAACATGTACATTTCACCACCACGGGCACAGCACCGCTATGTCCCACCCTGCAGCAAGCAGGACACCCTATCTCGTCCTGCTCTCCCACACAGGGGCCGAGGACAGAGGTTCACCCCTGGCCCAGGTACAGGCCAGGCAGAGCTGGAAGAGATCTCAGGGCTCTGGAGCCAGACGGTGGCTTGAGGGGAGTTGTGTAAACCTAGATTGGGCTGAACCCCACCCACAGTATTCCCCTACGCACTCTGCCCCTCCCTGACGACACATGAACCTCTGGCAGCAGGCACCCTGATCTTCCCACAGAAGGGGCCAGCCTCTCCCAGGGCCAAGACTCTGGTTCTGAACTTGGCTCTGCCTCCAACTTCCCACCAGCGTGGGGCCTTTCTCAGCGTTTCCTCAACCTGCTTCCCCACATCCATCAGCAGAGTGTGTTCATCCAGTGGACGGACAAGGGCACAGGACTGGGAGCCAGCCCACCTGGGATCCGATCCTCGCCTGCAGCTCAATGCTGTGTGCCTCGGGGCAAGTGACCTCACCTCTCTGAGCCTCGGTGTCACTGTCTACCCAATCCTATCCAACAGGAGGGCTGAAACTATCTAAGAGCCAAGAACCCTTTTGGTTCTAAAGGTTGAATCCTCCAGACTCTGAGCGCGCCAGGGGCAGAGTTCCCCGAGGTTGCCATTTCTGTGACCCAGAGCAAGCCTCTGGCCCAGCCTCCCTCCTGCAGCCCCTCTCCCCTCACCTCGGAGCCAGCGCAGGAGAAAATAGTCGTCTGGATTCGGCAGGGCGGGCAGCACATCCTGGACATTCTCCCGAAACTGCAGTGAGAGGCAGCTGGGTGAGCGGCAGGTCCCACCCTGACCGCCCTCTACTCGGGGCTCTCCATAGAGGCTTCCGCTGGACCCCTGCTCAGTACGGGGCAACTCTGCAGACACAGGCTGAGCACCTGGGCGGCACGGGGCCCTGTGTGGGTCGTGCTGGTGGGAGCTGGGTAGCGGAAGGAGGTGGGCAGGAGGTACAACACTGCCCCGGCCTGGCTGCGGGCACTTACACACTCCTTCGTGGCCGACGGGCAGACATGTCCCTAGATAACTGTCACAGGAGACAACCTGGGGTGTGCCACTGTAAGGGCATCTGTTTACCAAGCATTTCTGGTGCGCTGAGCACTGAACTTGGCACTGATTCACTCTTCACTCAGAGTCCCTAGAGGTATGACTGCTCCCACTTTACAGATGAAGGAATCAGAGCTCAGAGAGGTGAAGTCACAGCCCCAAGGTCAACAATTAGTAATCAGCAGAGCTGGTAAGCAAACCTCGGTCTGTCCCAGGCCAGAGCAGGCACGCTTTCCACCATGGTCGCCCCCTTTAGTGATGGAATGTTGAGTAACGTGCTGGGGGGCAGAGGGAAGAGTTAGATTCTGACTGGGGCCAGGAAGAGGCGGGGTCTTACGTGACTTCATATAATCATGGCATTTGAGCTTGAAGGACCTCAAAGGCAGCAATCCGGGTGGAGGGAACAGTTCCAGGCGGAAGCCACAGAGGGGGAAAGGGTGGCAAGTGCCAAACAAGAGCTGGACAGTGACCCCAAGGATGGCCACGCCCACACCCCACCGCTCTCGACCCTGGCCGTGAGCATGCCCCCACGTGCTGTGCTGTCCCCAAGCCTCCTGCTCCCAGTCACTGACCTACGGGGCAGCCACAGAGGGACCAATGAGGACCCACCACCTCTGCCCCTTGCTGGGGTCAGCCAGGGACTGAAACCATCCCAGCCCCCAGAGAGCTCCCGGGACCCCAGGGACTCCGGCGTGCCGCCACCCCTTACCAAGGACCCTCCCCAGCCCCCGATTCCTAGTTTACTCACCACCTAATCCCTTCTATGCCTGGTGTCCCCTGCAGGTCAGCAGTAATATCTGAAACCTCCCTACCCCCCAGCCTCCTGGGATGGGGAGGCCCGGCCTGGGGCGACAATTTCATGGGGCTGGTGCCGCGGCCCCACTATTCCTGGCAGGAGGCACCTGCCAACCCTCCTCCCCCAGTTTCTCAGCAGTGGAAAAGTGCCCAGTTGTGGAACCTCCAGACCTTAAGGCTGGACCCAGTCGGTTCCAAGAATGGTCACTCTCTCCTCTCCCCAAGGGCAGCTGGTGGGAGAGGGCGGGGCTCGGAAACTGCTGTCCCCTTCCTCTGCCCAGGCACCAAGGCAAAGCCAGGCTTACCTCCTTGCCTCCTGAAAAGCATCAGCCCGAGTCCCCAGCCAAGGAGCTTGGGGCGGGGGCGGCGGCTGGGTGGCAGGACAGGGGAGTTAGGGTGGAGGGTGAGGAGCTGGTGTCAGCTCAAACTAACCCCAACTCAGCCTGGCCCCGGTAGGATCCCAGGCTTTGCACCAGCAGGTGCTCCCCCTCCACCATCTCATCCAAACTCCTCAATTTCTTCCTTCACGGAGCGAGCGTAGAAGGACCGCTTGTGCCCAAGGTCGCAGACAGACTCGGGGCCAGAGCAGAAGCCATCCAAGTCTCCCAAGGAGCCCTCGGGAGGAGGCCCCTTCCATATGCCACTCACTGCCCCTCTGCCAGAGGAAAACCTCCCGGAAATGGGAGGGAACCTGGGGCCCTGCCCCTGCCCCCGGGGCCCGGCTGCCAGTGCCCGGGAACCAACGTTGCCTCTGTGCGCCCCCCCCCCAGCTGGCTCCGTGGGCTCCCAAGCAGCCACTTCTTTCCCAGGTGGCAGCGCCAAGGACTCGCCCGAGGATGGGGCCGGGGCGGCCAAACTTCCCCGGGGTCCCCTCGGCCGGCGGAGGGAGCCAGGGCGTGTGGGGGGTCGGCGGCCGCGGGCAGCTCGAAGCGGCAGGCGCCGCTCCCTCCGCCGGCCGCCCGCGGACCCGCGCTCGCCCCCCGCCCAGCCCCTTCCCCGGCCCCCGCCGCCGCCGGAGGAGGAGCCGGCCATCGTCGCCGGGGCCGGGGCGAGGCTCACCTTGCCCAGCGCCTCCTTCTGCTTGGGGCTCAGGTCGCCGACCCTGCCGCTCATCGTGGCTCAGGCTCGGGGCGCGGCGGTTGCCGAAGCAGATGGAGCACCGACGCGTTCTCCGCCGCCGCCGGAGTCGAGTCCCAGCTTTTTGCCCGGGCCGCGGGTGGCGGCCAAGCCCCGCCTCTTAAAGAATCCCAAGGGGCGGAGTAGGGAGCGATGCGCCGGGCGCGGGAGCATCCGAGGCGGGTCCCCTCCGCCCTCCTGAAGCGGAGACCTGGGCGGGAGGGGCGCGCTCGAGTGCCAACCCGGGCCGAGGCCGGTGGACCGCAGTGGGGCAGGAAGTCGGGGTGGCAGTCCTAAATTTACCTTTAGCTCACGGTGTGACCTTGGAGGAGACACCTGAGCTCTCTGGGCCGTGTGACCCCATCTGAGTACTATCTAATGATTTCTTGTAAGATCAGGGCCCCAGGATGCCACACTTCTCCCTCCAACCGGGAGGAAGCTTGCCTGATGGCCCTGTCGCGGGGGGCCAGGTCCCCTAAAACTAGCCATCGCTTCCAGCACAGTGTCTTTTTCTCTCTGGGGTCCCTGCCCGCCTCCTGTCCTGCCATGGATTTGGGTCTCTGCTGCCACCCAACTGGGGGCCTTGCAGGGGTTAACAGCCTTTCCCCTTCCTGCTGTGGGGCAGGCAGTCTGAGGGGGTAGGGAAGCCCAGACCTAATCTCCCCACCCAGGGCCCTGTCCTCTGCTCCTGACCTTCTCAGCTCTCTGAGAGGCTCGCAAGGTGCTGGCACCCTCCGTTGGCATGGAGGAGTGCTTCCTCTCTGGGAATCAGAAGATCTTGAGTTTGAATCCTAAATCTTCCCGTTCGTTTTATGAGACTTTGGGGAGCAAGTTCGCCTCTGAATCCAAGCCTCTTCGTTCACTAAATGGATTTGGATGATCTGGACCTCGGGTCAGCAGGAGAGGATAAAGCCAGCTAACGTACATAATGCCCTGGGCGCAATGCTTGGCCCAGGGGTCCCCTCTGTGACCACTGCCTTCATCCTCTCTGCTCAGCCTGCCTTTGCAGCCTGCCTGGCCAGGCTTCAGCCTCGGGGTGGGGATACAGGGTGGACACGGAGGAAGCCACAGTGAAAGCCTATGGCCAGTGAAAGCTTATCTGCTTCCCCTGCCCACACCCAGAGGCCGGAGCTGTGGGTTCCCCGTGTAGTTGCAAGCCTGACTTGTGGGACAGAAGCCATTTGACTGTCCTGCTGTGTCCCCTCCCCATACACTGAAGCCATTTCCTACTTTCCATGCTCACCAGACTTCCCTCTCTGCCTGGGTTCCCCCTCCCCCACGCTAATCCTACCACCAGGGTAGCAGCGGGTCACATGCCTTGGCCATTCTTTCCTCCTACTGCATGCCAGGCCCTGGGCACTGTTCTGGGGATCCTGAAATGAGTAGGGTGCCATCCTGCACTCCCAAAAGAGACAGAGGCACCAAAGGCGGTAGTGGTAGAGAACCTGCCTGTCAATGCAGAAGATACTAGAGACCCAGGTTCAGTCCCTGGGTCAGGAAGATTCCCTGGAGGAGGGCATGGCAACCCACTCCAGTATTCTTGCCTGGAGAATCCCATAGACAGAAGAGCCTGGTGGGCTATGGTCCATAGGGTCACACAGAGTCTGACACTTTAAGTGACTTAGCAAGCACACACGCATGTCCTGATGTCTGGCACTTGGGCCTATTTTCTGGGCCACGGATCACTAATACTCAGGCTCCCTTAAGGAGCTAGAATACAAGGATGAGATAAATGTTGCAAAGAGAGCCAGCAAGTGCCTGACTTTGGGTTGGAAGCATCCTCGAAGGCTTCATGGAGGGAGTACCATTGGACTGGGCCCTAAAAATCTGGGGTGGGGGACTTCCCTGGCTGTCCAGTGGTTGAGAATCTGCCTTGCAATGCAGGGGACTTGGGTTCGATCCCTGGTAGGGAAGCAAAGATCCCACATGCCGTGCAAGCAAGTAAGCTTCTGAGTGCCAGAGCCCGTGCAGCGCGATAGAGAGCTCACGTGCTGTGATGAAATCCCCATGTGCCGCGGCTGAGACCTGACACAGCCAAATAAGTGAACTTTAGAAAGAAGATCTGGGGTGGAAGGAAATGCAGAGGAGAGTCATTCCATGCTTTCATGATGGCACGAACAAAGTTTTGGTGGTAGGTGGGAAGCATGGCTACAACCGGACACGAGAGGAGAGAAGGAATAAACTGGGAAGCCCAGCGGGACCTTGATGTGGCCTTGCTTAGGGGCATCTGTGCTGTTAGACCGTGAGTTCTTGGGAACAGGACCCTGTTTTACTCACCCTGGAATCCCCACAGGCCCCTTTCCCCACACAGCGTATTGCACACAGGAGCTGCTCCATAAATGAATATTGAGTGAATGAATGAATGAGTGAGTGCAGGAAACATTCTCATGGGCACTGAGCTGGGAGCCCGGGGACAGAGACTTAAACACAGATCATTCAAGGTTCAAGCAACTAACTCACCTTACGTAACAGCTGTGGAAACTGAGGCCCGAAAAGGCTGTAGCCTGCCCCCAAAGGCATCAGTGGCATGACTGATGAGAAGAGCTTTGCCCACTGCCTGGCACACGGAAGGTGCAGAGTTGCACCCTCCCTTTGCTGGCTGGAATTCACGCAGAGAGAGGCCCAGAGCCAAGCCCCTGCCACCTCTGCGCTGGCTCCGGAAGAGTGGGAAGCACACGGCCCCCGGCTGTCTGGGTTAGAAGGCAGAGGCAGGCTGCAGCAGGCTTCTGAAAGACGCTTGGGAGGACTTCACTCTGCGCCTGTCATGGCCTCCGCTGTGGAGGTTTGCAGCCGGGCACAAGGTGAAGGTCTTGGGTCCACCATGGTGGCCGAGAGGCCCCTATCCCCACCCTGCAAGGCGTTTTCAGGCAGACCTAGCGGGGCAGGAGGTAAATGGGCCTCTCCTCCCCCCCAGGGTAAAGAAGTTGGAGATTCATTTCCTATTGCCCGAAATTCCAAGACCAGAATAGCGGGACAATTAAAGCGAGGGGGCTGGACCCTGCCCAGACCACATATTTCTCGTTTTTGAAGTCAGGAGACTTCCCTGACCACACATGCGCAGAAAGGCTCCTGGGAGGCCAAAGGGGAGTTATGTCAAAGGATGTTCTACCCAGACCCCTCTTCAGTAGAATCCATCTTGGCTAAGAGATGCGTGTGCACACGTGGGAGGACCCTGAGATAAACCAGATATGAACTGTGAACCAGGCAAATCAAAATGACTGGCCAAAGGAAACCCGGAAGAAATGCCCCCATAAAAGTACTTCAAAGTGCCACGAGGATGCGACTCAGGGACTCTCTCTCTGAGTCTGCTCATGTGTCTATCTACCTACATGTAATGTACTTTCTTCCCCCCTCTTCATACTTCACTGTTTCACGACTTTCCGTCTTTGTGAGAATTCTTTTCTGCAAAGCCAGAGGGCCAGGGCTCTTGTCACTGACCACTGGCTTAGTGCCTAGGATCTGGTACTTCCACCGCAGTGACCCAGCTGGGAACCCAAGCTCCGTTCCATGTCATCGCAGGCCGAGGCCGCCCGAGAGCCCCTGCCGTCCTGCCCTGGCTACAGACTCATCGGCTTTGGCTCCGGGCAGGGCACAGCCCCCTGCCCTGCTGCGTGCCTGGCTGAGATCTTTCTTTAAGACCCTTTCAGGCGCAACGTGAACTTTTCAGTGAAGGGCCTACTCAAAGGAAACTGGAACAACCGCTCGTGTTGGTTCAGCACTCTGCAGACGACAAGGCGTTCTCAGAGCTGGCTTGTCATTTAAGCCCATGATGACCCTCTAAGGCGGGTAGGTCAGGTGACTTCTTGAGGAACCCGAGGGAGAAATCTGGTCACATGAGCGTGTCCACAGTTGTGACTTGAACCCAAGTCCTTGGCTTCTGGGCCAGATGCTCCCAGGTGCCCATGGGCTAGAGTGTGGACTGGCCTGGGAGCTTCCTGGAGAGGCTGCCCAGGAGCAACAACAGGGAAAACATTTACCCAGCAGCAAACATGACTCAGGTGGTAAAGAATCTGCCCACTACGTGGGAGGCCCGGGTTCAATCCTTGGGTTGGGAAGACCTCCTGGAGGAGGAAATGGCAACCCATTCCAGTGGTCTTGCCTTGAAAATTCGGTGACAGAGGAGCCTGGTGGGCTACAGTCCATGGAGTTGCAAAGAGTCGGACATGACTGAGCAACTAACATTTTTCACTTTTCAGCAGCAGTCTCCAGCCCCAACCAAGCTGCCTCTCCCAGGGTATCTGGAGTTACCTACTGTGAAGGCCTAGATAAAGTATCCTTCTCAAGCCTTGGGGCTGCCTGTTTCTTCACTGAAATTTGCCTATCTCCAGTCCAGTGGAATGGCCAATCTGATCATATAAGTCCTGGAATCAAAATCTAGATTATATATTTATTTATTATATATTTTGTTGTTGTTTAGTCTCTCAGTCATGTCTGACCCTGCGATCCCATGGACTGCAGCACACCAGGCTTCCCTGTCCTTCACCAACTCCCAGAGCTTGCTCAAGCTCATGTCCATCAAGTCAATGATGCCATCCAACCATCTAATAGTCTGTCACCCCCTTCTTCTCCTGCCCTCAATGTTTCCCAGCATCAGGGTGTTTTCCAATGAGTCAGCTCTTTACATCAAGTGGCCAAAGTACTGGAGCTTCAGCTTCAGCATCAGTCCTTCCAATGAATATTCAGGACTGATTGCCTTTAGGATGGACTGGTTGGATCTCTTTGCAGTCCAAGGGACACTCAAGAGTCTTCAGCACCACAGCTCGAAAGCAACAATTCTTCGGTACTCAGCCTTCTTTACGGTCGAACTCTCACATCCATACATAACTACTGGAAAAACCATAGCTTTGACTATATATACAGCCCTTTGTCAGAAAAGTGATGTCTCTGCTTTTTATTATCTACAAAAATGAAACTTCTCCAGGCTGGTTACTTAGCGAGACTCCCTCCTCCACATCCCCACCTTTCTCCATCCCCCAGACTCCCTCCTCCACACCCCC